TGTTCTTTACAAAACTTAATTTTCTTTATATTTATGATATTTCTGTTATCTCACTTTAATTCTCTAGAATTCTATAAAGTAACTCACTGAATCCCTGTTGACAGTACAATAGAGAACAGGAACTGAGCACACAGCCTGGGGTAGTGCTGTGCTTCTCGCCCTGGGCATGTGGCCAGCAGGGCTCACCAAAACATAACAGGGCTCCTCATCCTTGAGCATCAATTTTATTCACTAGCTCTGTGGATGGAAAAAAGAGGTTCTATGGAAAGTACCCTCACAGGGTGATCTGATCATATATTCCTAACTGGGCAGGTCATAGCAGGTAGTCATGCCCCAAGCATATAACTTTTTAGTAAAATGTTCATTTTTGCCTTAAGCAAGCCCTGTCCATTGTTTCTATGCATCTAGGTGAACACACCTTTGAAATAAACTGTAACCACCCTCAAAAAAGCACATAGTCTTGTTAACTCTCCTGTAATCCAATCCCCACCTTGCTTTTTCCCACCTCCATGTAATCTTCCAAAATGCCTTCCTTCATTTCAAATGTATTTTTAAAAAGCTGCAAAACTGTTATTCTCTAGAGCAGCGGTTCTCAACCTTCCTTATGCCTCGACCCCTTAATAGTTCCTCATGTTGTGGTGACCCCCAACCATAAAATTTTTTTCGTTGCTACTCTATAACTGTAATTTTGCTACTGTTATGAATCGTAATGTAAATATCTGATATGCAGGATGTATTTTCATTGTTACAAGCTACACATAATTAAAGCATAGTGATTAATCACAAAAACAATATGTAATTATATATTGTGAAATATTTATTTCTAATTACAAATAAATGAAATTTTGTCTTGAAGCTGGGTACTCGTATGTGGGCATACCTGCATGTGGGCGGACCCGCCTGGAGACGGATAGAGGAGCGGTGTCTCGGCTCCTAAGACCATCGAAAATATGTGTTTTCCAATGGTCTTAGGCGACCCCTGTGAAAGGGTCTTTCGACCCCCAAAGGGGTCGCAACCCACAGGTTGAGAACCGCTGCTCTAAAGCATTCGAGATATTGTTTCCCGGCATATGTTTGGCTCAAATAAACTCTTACATAAATCCTCTACAAGTTTGGACATTTTGTGACAGGTTAGCTAGCATGTTGTTAGGTAGACAGGGAAGTCCCTGGTAGAATAGAACAAAGGCAGCCATATCTTGGAAATCCAGGTTCTGAAATGACTCATTCGCTCCAGGGCAAAAATGTAATTGCACTCTGAGAGTAAAAGTGTTATTTCATAAATCCCTTTAAGGCTGGGCAACAGCCTAAATCTCATAGACAAAATCCATTAGAAGGCACCAACTGACTTCCCCAAGCATGCAAGAGAAAGCATAAAAGTAAGAGCCTTTGCCTTAGCCAGTGGGCATCCCAGTTTCGGGTACCCCCTCTAGTAAGAGAGCTGTACTTTCGCTTTAATAAAATTCTTTGCTCCTCTACCTCTCCTTCCGAGTCCGCGTTCTCATTGTTTGGGTATATGAGACCATGTTCTCCAGGCACCAGACACCAGGATCCTCTATCAATTTCTTACCTGGACAGGTAATATAAAGCCTTTTTCCATGACTGGAATGCAAATTTTTAATGACTTTAACATTAAACAAACTATACTTGAAGTGAATTCAGGCTTAGGGCTGGTGGCTGGCCGTAACCCCACACCCCCTGAGTGTGGTCACACTTCCCTGCCCTGGGCACGCTGCACAGGAAAAGCTTAAGAAGCTCTGGTAATAGGCAGAGGCCAGGCTGTGAAGTCAGACAAAACTAGACTGAAATTCTGGCTCTGCCACATGCTACGTACATGACCTTGAACAAGTGACACAGCCACCGTACATGAGCTTAAACAAGTGACGCAGCCACTGTTACTCTACTATTGAAAGGTCACAGACATGTTACAGAATGAGAAATCAAATCAGTCCACAAAAGTATTGTATTGCACATCTATCGGTTTGCCTACCCAGCATCTCTTATTTTGGCAATAGAATGAAACTTTCTTTCAGAAACCGGCTCTTCTCTATTTTTAACCCATGTGGGACGGACCCCAAAGCCCACCTTCAAAGAGGGGCACAGGAACCAGGCCTTTCTACTCAGAGGCCACACTGTGATTCAGTGATAGGCTCGAACCCCAGGCCTATCCCCTTAGGAGCTTTCCTGCTACTGCAGCTGCTAAGCTTACACAGCAGAAAGCAGGAATGCCTGCGACCAGCTCTGCAACCATGGTGAACAGCTATAGTTGCACTTCCCTAAAGGCACAGAGCTGGGGAGAAGGTGCAGGAACGCACACCTGTAGGCCAGCATCTGAATCAGACACAACTGTATCAGGCCAGGGTCCAACTGCCTNCAGTATTACGAAGTATTTCAAACATGCAAAACTGATTAGAGAAAAATAAAATAAATATCCTTTCACCTAATACCAAGTCTTAATAAATCTTGACATTCAGCCAAATTTACATCAGATTTTTTTTTTAAGGAATAAAATATTTCAGATATAATTGAAGCCTCTGTATACCTCCTACCTGACCCCTTTCTCCTCCTTCCCACCTCAAAGGTAATTACTGTTTTAAAGCTAAGTGTATCATTCACATGTACATAAATAATAGACAGTATTATTTGATATATTTAAGCTTTACCTATGTAACAACTGACTGTATATTTATTCCACTATTTTTTTACTCAACATACTTTTGAGACTTATTTATGTTGATGCATGCAATTCTAGTTCATTCACTTTAACAGCTAAAAATTGTGTTATATTAATCTCCCATCAACAATCATTAAGGTTGCTCTTTAACGTTTGCTGTAACAAACAATACTACAACAAACTTTCTTGTACATACTCGTATACTAGAGTTTCTGCAGAGTACAATCTTAAAAAAACAATTACTTGGTGCCCATTCTTTTTTAAAACTTTTTCTTCGGTGAATAACCTTTCTAACAGTATAAGTGTATTCATTTTCATAATGAACAAAAGAATCTGACTGGAAATAACCTTAAGATACTTTCAGTGGAAAAAGACTAAACCCTAAATTAACTTCTGTTTTAAGTTATCTCAGAGTACCTACTTAGCAAAGTCATTTGGAGCAAAATGCAATATATCTCATTAATGAGAAATTACCTGTGCAATATTTTTAGAAGACATAATTGCCTGATTATAAAATATACGGCCAAAGTGATCTCGATCTGCAAATGCCTCTGCTTGTCGAGGTAAGTTTGCCCCTCCTGAATCAACTGAAGACAAGAGAAATGACAGAAATAAGTACATCTCTATGAACAAAATATGCGACACACAGGAAGACTTGTATCAATGACAGCAGCTGTTCTTAACCACATTCACAAAAAACTTGCCCTATCGTTCTAAACTATTCCGCATCATCTTTGTCCAATCCTCCAACACAGGATTGACTGTTTTCCTCAAAACCATTAGGCTCTCCTATCCCTGCACAAAACTCTACTTGAAATGTGTAAGGCATTCTCTCCTTTGAGGACCAGCTAAAGCCCCAGAAACACCATATATGCTTAACCAGTTCAGCTAAATAAAATGATCTTTCTCTCTTTTAAACCAATACAAAAACCACCTATGCAATTCATGTGACAATTTATCACATATTGCCTTCTGGTATTGTTTTTACTGCAGATTACAGTGGTGGATAAGAATATTCGCTGAGTTCAAAACAGAGCTTGGTTACTATATAGCTGTGTGATTACAGGCCTGTTTCCTAGCTATTCTATGCCTTGGTTCCCTCACCTGTAAAATGAAGGTAACAACAGTGGCTATCCCATAGAGTTGTTATTGGGATGACACAAAATACTGTGTGTAATGCACTTAGTTCAGCACTTACTGTGTGTGAGTGCACATAGTAATGCTACAAAAAGTTAGCTAGTCCTATACCTATACCTATCACTCTTGTATACAACTGTAAGTCTCTTATTGTTATCGGATACATTATATGCTGACTCCAATCAAGACAAGAACAACATAATACTCTTCACTGCATCCCCCAGTGTTTGCATAGCACCTACCAGCAGTAGAGCCTCATTTGCTGTATTCTATATGTGCCAAGTAGTTCACAGTGTAAGTCAACCAGGTAAATTCACTTATGTAGAAAAAAAAAATCTTTCCATCAGTACCTGTTCAAATACCCACATAAGTGAACAATATATATTTGCGTGTTACCAAACTAAGCCAATATCCATCCATAAGTAGCAATTTTATACTGCCTTGCTTTGATATTATTTTTTTAAATATCTTTAGATTTAAATCTATTTTAATTTTAAATATATTTTTATTGAAAATTATATTTCCTTACTAGATTTACTGGGGTGATCACTTCGTAATGTCTAATCACTATTAATGTCTAATCACTATGTTGTACACCTGAAACTAATATAATATTGTATGTCAACTATAATAGAAAAATAAATTTTAAAAAATTAAATTTCTTTAAATAATATATGCTCAAATTATAAACACACTGAAACATTTAAGATAGCATCTGGTGCTCAAGAGATCAATAAATATTAGCTACTATTTGTTCATAGTTTGAACCCATTATGGTTAACAGAAAAACAAAACATACAGAAGAAAAAAAAACACACATATGTGGAGAAAAAACTGGCAGACACCAAAATGCTGTCAGAAGCTATTCCTCAGTGATGTTATTATGGGTAGTTCTTGTTTATTTCCTAGCGTTTCCAACAAAGAACATGTATTTCTTTTGTAATTATGGGAGAAACCAACAGTTATAAATACTAATTGATAATGTCATATAGATAAACCTTCTAAACAGTCATATTTTACCAGCCAAAAATAGTTTATTTTACAACTACTGTGACTTGCCCAAGTAGATGCAAGGGAGCCTGTTTTGCATTGCAATTTCTTGAGCCCGTAAATGTTTTTTCACAGTCACTGGGTAGTAGGTGCCTCCTTTGACAGTGGCATCGTTGGCAACAATCATACATTCTACTCTGAAAGGCAGAAATTTCATTGGAAAGAGAATGAGAGATTTCTTCAAAGTTAAAGGACAATTACATCACATTCCATGACACTCCAAA